GAGTTCTTGAATTAATAAAAATTGCTTCGAGTTTTGTGTGAGAACCTTTAATATTCCACTCTCTATACCTATATATATATATATATAGTCCCCACCACATTTTGTATTAATCTCAATGTGGCGTGGAGTTTTTAAAAGTGTTCGGGAATCTTTTGGAACTCTGTGTCCATATTTCCTAAAAATGTGCGATAAAGAATTCATTCCATCTCGTGAAGTTTTGTTAAGATTGGCCCACTCAGCCAAATCTTTACAGATATCATTTTCATCTATATCAGACTGTTCATCTCCACTTGAAACTCTGCTACTTCCTGAACTTTCATATTCATCTTCACTGCTACTTTCAGAGCTATTATCTAAAACATCAGTTTCATAATCATCACTGCTTTTTTCCTCATTATGATTACCACTATTTGCCTCATTTTCAATGTTGACTAATTCAGTGTCCGTATTATTTCCACTCAAATCTTTTTCAGGTAATACATTTGTATCTTCTTGTGTGTCCGGACTGGACTCGCTACTGTGGTCATCATTTAAGCAAGAAACATTTTCTACATCTGCATTATACTTTCTCCATCTTTTTAAATAAGAGCTCGAGCTCTGAAAGGTAGATCAAAATCATGCATGTGCTATGTGTTAGGTAGAGCATGCTTTTCATTGCTAGCCTATATGAAAACAATTTGTGTGGTCAGTTTATGTACTGATGGCAACCATGGAAGAAGGTAGGAGTGCCCTTTACCGTTAGGCGTCAAACAGTCATTTTCGGCTATTGTTAGCGTCAAATTGTTTAATATTTAACTGTGATGTGTCAAAATATCCTGATCATGTTTTGTCAGGTCTCAAATAATTATTGTTACCTTTATTTTTGGAAAAAAGTTAACATGATTTGTCAAAATCAGTCGATTTTTTATCATTCAAAGAAAGTGTACATTTTGTAGTCATGTACCAAAAATTACTGTCGAGTCATTTGGCAAGAATTTTTAACGTTATTCGTCATGACTGGATACTATTTAGAATACTTTTAAATGTACGCGCCCGGAAGTTTACTGTTTTCCCCGAACTTTTGTTAAAGGGAAGACTTTGCCCGGACTTTTTCGGAACATCTCTGCAAATACGTATGAAACTTATAAAGTGATACGATGATTTCCGAACTTTTACCAAAAAGTTGCTGAAAAAGAAAGAATCTTAAATAATGACAATTTAACCAAAGGAAGTTACGCATGAAAACATAGATTCATGATAATTCATGAATGTACAAATAATCACACAAAAATGACCTATGAGAGGAATTTAAAAAAATAATTAAGTCATGGACCATTTGATCTGATCTATTTATTTTTTTTTGGGGGGAAAGGGGGGGGGGGTGTTGCAAGGAAATATATACTAATATTAACTTGCCATCAAAATGTTATAGACTTTGTTTTAATTATTACTAAACATGGGTCGTGTTGACTGAAGTAAAAAAAAAGGGGGGACAACATTTCCATATTTTGCAACCCCCCTTTCTAAAATAAAATCAAATGGTCTATGACTGTGTGTTTGTTTGAAAATTAAAAGATTATGACCACTTACAATCAAATGAAAGGCTTGATCTTGTTCGTTGTTCATCATATCTGTTTGTTTAAAATTACATTATTATAGACTGACATATCTGTCCTTTTTATAATACACTATTATTTTTTACGCTTATCCCGAAAATAAGAACCTATACTAGTATATTCATTATTAACGAAAAAAGAATTGGGTGAAGTTTATTTCCTCCTTTGATACTTTTTCAAGTAAATGATTTGTCACAGAAAATAGACATTTGGGAATTATTATTATTTATTTTGAAAGTATTTAACAGTAAAAACAGTGTGTTTTTCACAATTAAGATCTCTGAAATTATTTCGAGTTTTGATACATAAAGTAGATACTGTGGTCCTCAATTACTCGAAAGCAGTAGAACATTTGACGAATGTCTCCTATAACAGCGACTTGATCCTTACGAAAGCGCATCAATACACCAATCAAACTGTTTGTTAAGTCTGGTCCATAGAGAAGAACGTCGTTTAATGAAACGCCTCCAAATTTAGCAGCTGAATCAAACACTGCTCGAAACTGATCAGGTTTTTTGAATGAAAGACCCCACAAATAGGAAAGTACCAGCATTCCGAATTATTGTCAAGTTCGGGGGCTAGCTCAGCATGGCCGTTTTCAAATATGTTAGCCATGAAAGTAAGAAAATGTTGCATTTTTGTCTGATCTCTACGTAGACTATGGTCGAGTGATCTAGCTCGTTTCATAGCAAGTTGTTCATTGTTCGGTAGCCGTTGTCTGTCCTTTCGGATTGATAACGGTGCATTCCAATTCCTATCGTCGTCTTATTTAAACTCTTAGTCCATTATCTTCAAAAGTTCTTTGTTATCGATTGACATTGCAATTTTGTCGTCATGATTTGTTGTTTGGAGCACATCTTTTCCAAATGAATCTTTCTCATAGACTTCGGAATCATTTATACACGGTTGAACAAGCGAACGACGATCTCCTTTTACTAAGAATGTCTTGTTCACGTTCGACCTCAGGCATGTGCGACTTGTCTAAACACGTTTCACCGATTATAGTCCAACCAAGGGGAAATTTCTGGGCGTAAGGCAAACCTCGCGGTCCTATTCTCTGAACCATAAAAACTCTTATCGTTTTCTTAATATGTAAGCTTGAAATTGCAGCGTAAATTTTGTTTGCACTCAGTGACCTTTGACCTTAGGTGGAGTTAAAGGTCACATAAAAAAAAATTATTGGGGAAGGTCCCAAGTCTCTACGACTTCCGGTTCTCGAAATACAATTTTTTTAAAATTGAGTAAAATTTTTCAAGGGAAATAACTCCGTATAAGGATTAATAACATACTAATTCTTTATGTTTATTAACATTGCCATTTGTTCTTGTAGATGCTGCAATTTTCAATTTGACTCTATCTGTTATACTTTTTAAGAAAAATGCAAATAAAAGAAATTGCTTCAAGGGGATGCAACTCTCAAAGGAGTTGATGAAATCCTACGCAGCCTCATATGGTAATACATCATGATGAGATCTACCTATAGTACAAATAAAATCATGATATCTTTAAAAACAACGAGGGGGGACCATGTTGAAAAAACCCAATAAAAGGGAGATTACTTCCAAAGGAGATGATGAAATCCTAAACAGGGTCATCTGGTAAAACTTCATGATGAGGTCTATCGGTGGTTCAAATTTGGTCTTGATAACTTTAATAGAAACGAGGGTAGGGCATGTCAAAAAAATGTTGGAAGAAAAAAAAGAAAAAACTAGTATCTCAATTGTTTGTAAAACAATTGAAAGGTCTTTCCTGTAAAAGTGATGTTTTCGTAATATACTTTTTTTTACGGAAGTATGATATATGTAATGTAGACTTGATGATCTTTCATTTGATATGCGACAACGCCATATTCTAGAAAGTTTGATTTTTGCACTTAATAACCCCATCCAACTAGTTTTTCTAGAACAGGAATTTGATATTTGAAATGTACACGTTATGACCTTTCATTTGATAAACAACAACCTTATCTTAAAAGAAAATTTATGTTTTGCACTCAATGACCCCACCCAACTCATTTTTTGGGGACGTCAATTTGATATTTGAAATGTACGCTTTATGGACTTTCATTTGATATGCGACAACCTAACCATCTGAGAAGTTTGAATTGTTTGCACTTAATGACCCCACCCTTCCCACTGGGATGGAAGAGGGGTTTGAAATTTTCATTTTTGAGTAGAGCTCATTTAGACGTTCAATTTGATATACATAATGACCGCATTTGGCAAAGAGCCAAAAATGATGCAATATCAACTATATAAATAGGACTTATGAAACTTACAAAGTCAATGTAAAAGATGAAAATTTCAAATTGATTTTTTTTTGGAGTTTTTCATTGAAAGTTTTTGGTAATTAGTCAAACATATAACCATGTTAAACTCTTCAATTTCTGAAAATTTCAGGTGGAAAGCTGTTGTTGATTCTCAGAAATACATGCCTCCGCTCGCAAAACTTCAAACTGCATTATCTCTTAAACGACAATAGATATCTCAAATCTGTTTAATGATAAATGATCTGAAGTTAAAGGGCAACGTTGCATAAAAAATTTGGGACAATTCCAAAGTTCATCAAGGTCACAATGAATCATCAAATATATGATGCAATACCAAACTTGAGAACCAGAAGTCGTAGAGACATAAGACTACCACCATTCAACTCAAGACAACTTGACCTTTCAAATATCACAAGGTCAAGGTCATAGTACACTTTGAAGGTCAAGGTAAAATTTCATCATGACCTGACATTGACCTCAAATTGAAGGTCTTACAATACTGATCATTTTTGCAATTTATAGTAGGTTTATATCTGTTACCTTTAAAAAGATATATACACAATACTATACTTTTAAGAATTATCTCGTCGTATTTTTTGAACAGACGGTCGGACGTTTAATGTATAAAATGTAGAGCTCGTCGAGAGGAACATTTTATACACAGTATGTATGCAGCAAACTCTTATCGTTTTCTTAATATGTAAGCTTGAAATTGCAGCGTAATTTTTGTTTGCACTCGGTGACCTTTGACCTTGGTTGCAAAGTGAAGGTCACATGAACTTAAGATTATTGGTGTAGGTCCCAAGTCTCTACGACTTCCGGTTCTCGAAATACAATTTTTCAAAAATTGTGTATATTTTTTAAAGGGAAATAACTCCTTATAAGGGTTGATAACATACTAATTGTTTATGTTTTCTAACATTGCCATCTGTTCTTTTAGATGCTGCTATTTTCAATTCGATTCTATCTCTAATACTTTTTAGGAAAAATGCAAATAAAAGAAATTGTTTCAAGGGGATATAACTCTCAAAGAGGATGATGAAATCCTACGCAGCCTCATATGGTAGTACATCATGATGAGATCTACCTATAGTACAAATAATGTCTTGATATCTATAAAAACAACGAGGGGGGGGGGGGGGGCCATGTCGAAAAAAACCAATAAAAGGGAGATAAATTCTAAAGGGGATGATGAAATCCTTAACAGGGTCATCTGGTAATACTTCATGATGAGGTCTATCGGTGGTTCAAATTTGGTCTTGATAACTTTAATAGAAACGAGGGTAGGGCATGTCAAACAAATGTTGGAAGAAAAAAAAGAAAAAGAAAAAAAAAACATTAGAAAAACAATAAGGTCTTTCCTAACGGAGTGGAAAGACCTTAAAAAAAGAAAAAGAAAAAAAAACATTAGAAAAACAATAAGGTCTTTCCTAACGGAGTGGAAAGACCTTAATAAGGTCTTTCCCAACGGAGTGGAAAGACCTTAAAAAAAAAAAGAAAAAAAAAAACATTAGAAAAACAATAAGGTCTTTCCTAACGGAGTGGAAAGACCTTAACTAGTATCTCAATTGTTTGTAAAACAATTGAAAGGTCTTTCCTGTTAAAGTTATGTTTTCGTAATGTACTTTGTACGACCTTTCATTTGATATACGACAAGCATACCGTCTGAAACATTTCGCTTTTTACACTTAATGACCCCCATCCGCCTTAATTTTCGAGATCGGAAGTATGATATATGTAATCTTGACTTTATGATCTTTCATTTGATATGCGACAAGGCCATGTTCTAGAAAGTTTTATTTTTGCACTTAAATACCCCATCCAACTCATTTTTTGAGGACAGGAATCTGATATTTGAAATGTACACGTTACGACCTTTCTTAAATACAACAACCTTGCCTTAAAAGAAAATTTTATTTTTTGCACTTAATGACCCCACCCAACCCATTTTTTGTGGACGTCAATTTGATATTTGAAATGTACGCTTTATGGACTTTAATTTGATATGCGACAACCTAACCATCTGAGAAGTTTGAATTTTTTGCACTAAATGACCCCACCCTTCCGCCTGGGATGAAAAAGGGGTTTAACATTTTCATTTTTGAGTAGAGCTCGTTAAGACCTTCAATTTGATATATCAAATGACCCCATTTGGCAAAGTGCCAAAAATGATGCAATATCAATTATATAAATAGAACTTATGAAACTTACAAAGTAAATGCAAAACATGAAAATTTCAAATTGATTTTTTGGGGTTTTTTTTCATTGAATGTTTTTGGTATTTTGTCAAATATATAACCATGTTAAACTCTTCAATTTCTGAAAGTTTCAGGTGGTTACCTGTTGTTGATTCAGAAATACATGCCGCCGCTCGCAAAATTTTAAAGTGCATTATCTCTAAAACGACAATAGATATCTCAAATCTGTTCAATGATAAATGATTTGCAGTTGAAGGGCAACATTGTATAAAAATTTGGGACAATTCCAAAGTTCATCAAGGTCACAAGGAATCATCAAATATATGATGCAATACCAAACTTGAGAACCGGAAGTCGTAGAGCCATGATACTACCACCATTCAACTCAGGACCACTTGACCTTTCAAATATCACGAGGTCAAGGTCATAGTACACTTTGAAGGTCAAGGTAAAATTTAATCATGACCTGACATTGACCTCAAACTGAAGGTCTTAAAATACTGATCATTTTTGCAGTTTATAGTAGGTTGATATCTGTTACCTTTTAAAAGATATGCACAAAAAACTATACTTTAAAGAATTTTCTCGTCGTAACTTTTGAACAGACGGTCGGACATTTTTGAGCTTTAAGTATAAAATGTAGAGCTCGTCAAGAGGAACATTTTATACACAGTATGTATGCAGCAAACTCTTATCGTTTTCTTAATATGTAAGCTTGATATTGCAGCGTAAATTCTTTTTGCACTCAGTGACCTTTGACTTTGGGTGCAAGTTAAAGGTCACATGAAATAAAAAATTATTGGTAAAAGTCCCAAGTCTCTACGACTTCCGGTTCTCGAAATAGAATTTTTCAAAAAATGTGTATAATTTTTCAAGAGAAATAACTCCTTATAAGGGTTGATAACAATATAATTGTTTATGTTTATTAACATTGCCATCTGTTCTTGTACATGCTACCATTTTCAAATTGATTCTATCTCTAATACTTTTAAAAAAAAATGCAAATAAAAGAAATTGCTTCAAGGGGATATAACTCTCAAAGGGGATGATGAAATCCTACGCAGCTTCATATGGAAATACATCATGATGAGATCTACATATTGTCTACATGAAGTCATGTTATCTTTAAAAAAAACGAGGGGGGGCCATGTCGAAAAAAAACAATAAAAGGGAGATAACTTCTAAAGGGGATGATGAAATCCTTAACAGGGTCATCTGGTAATACTTCATGATTAGGTCTATCGATGGTCCATATTTGGTCCTGATAACTTCAACAGAAACGAGGGTAGGGCATGTTAAAAAAATGTTGGAAGAAAAAAAAGAAAAACTAGTATCTCAATTGTTTGTAAAACAATTGAAAGGTCTTTCCTGTTAAAGTGATGTTTTCGTAATGTACTTTGTACGACCTTTCATTTGATATACGACAAGCATACCTTCTGAAACTTTTTGCTTTTTACACTTAATGACCCCATCCTCCTTAATTTTCGAGATCGGAAGTACGATACATGTAATGTAGACTTGATGATCTTTCATTTGATATGCGACAACGCCATGTTCTAAAAAGTTTGATTTTTGCACTTAATAACCCCATCCAACTCATTTTTTGATGACAGGAATCTGATATTTGAGATGTACACGTTACGACCTTTCATTTGAAATACAACAACCTTACCTTAAAAGAAAATTTTATTTTTTGCACTCAATGACCCCACCCAACCCATTTTTTAGGGACGTCAAATTGGTATTTAAAATTTACGCTTTATGGACTTTCATTTGATATGCGACAACCTAATCATCTGAGAAGTTTGATTTTTTGTACTAAATGACCCCGGCCTTCCCCCTGGGATGAAAAAGGGGTTTAACACCCAATGACCCCACCCAACCCATTTTTGAGGGACGTAAATTTGATATTTGATATGTACGCTTTAAGGACTTTCATTTGATATGCGACAACCTAACAATCTAAGAAGTTTGAATGTTTTGCACTAAATGACCCCACCCTTCCGACTGGGATGAAAAAGTGGTTTGAAATTTTCATTTTATAGTAGAGCTCATTAAGACCTTCAATTTGATATATCATATGACCCCATTCGGCAAAGTGCCAAAAATGATGCAATATCAATTATGTAAATAGAACTTATGAAACTTACAAAGTCAATGCAAAACAAAAAAATTTCAAATTGAATTTTTTGGTTTATTTTCTCATTGAATGTTTTGGGTATTTGGTCAAACATATAACCATGTTGAACTCTTCAATTTCATGAAATTTCAGGTTGTAACCTGTTGTTGATTAAGAAATACATGCCTCCGCTCGCAAAACTTCAAACTAAATTATTTCTAAAACTACAGCAGATATCTCAAATCTGCTCAGTGATAAATGGTCTGCAGTTGGAGGACAATATTGTAGAAGAAAATTTGGGACAAATCCAAAGTTCATCAAGGTCACAATCAATCATCAAATATATGATGCAATACCAAACTTCAGAACCAGAAGTCATAGAGACATGGGACTACCACCATTCAACTCAGGACCACTTGACCTTTCAAATGTCACATGGTCAAGGTCATAGTACACTTTGAAGGTCAAGGTTAAATTTCATCATGACCTGACATTGACCTCAAATTGAAGGTTTTTGAATACTGATCTTTTTTGCAATTTATATTATTTAGATATCTGTTACCTTTTAAAAGATACACACAAAATACTATACTTTTAAGAATTATCTCGTTGTAACTTTTGAACAGACGGTAGGACAGTTTTGAGCTTAAATATAAAATGTAGAGCTCGTCGAGAGGAACATTTTATACACAGTATGTATGCAGCAAACTCTTATCGTTCTCTTAATATGCAAGCTTGAAATTGCAGCGTAATTTTTTTTTTGCACTCAGTGACCTTTGACCTTGGGTGCAAAGTAAAGGTCACATGAATTAAAGATTATAGGTGAAGGTCCCTAGTCTCTACGACTTCTGGTTCTCGAAATAGAATTTTTCAAAAATTGTGTATAATTTTTCAAGAGGAATAACTCCTTATAAGGGTTGATAAAAAACTAATTGTTTATGTTTATTAACATTGCCATCTATTCTTGTAGATGCTGCCATTTTCAATTTGAATTTATCTCTAATACTTTTGAAAAAAAATGCAAATAAAAGAAATTGCTTCAAGGAGATATAACTCTCAAAGGGGATGATGAAATCCTTCGCAGCCTCATATGGTAATACATCATGATAAGATCTACATATAATACAAATAAGGTCATGATATCTTAAAAAACAACGAGGGGGGGCCATGTTGAAAAAAAACAATAAAAGGGAGATAACTTCTAAAGGGGATGATGAAATCCTTCACAGGGTCATCTGGTAATACTTCATGGTGAGGTCTATCGATGGTCCATATCTGGTCTTGATAACTTCAATAGAAACGAGGGGAGGGCAGGTAAAAAAAAATGTTGGAAGAAAAAAAAGAAAAAAAAAAAAAAAAAAAAAAAAAAGAAAAGAAAAACTAGTATCTCAATTGTTTGTAAAACAATTGAAAGGTCTTTCCTGTAAAAGTGATGTTTTCGTAATGTACTTTCTACGACCTTTCGATTGATATACGACAAGCATACCTTCTCAAACTTTTCGCTTATTACACTTAATGACCCCATCCGCCTATATTTTCGAAATTGGAAGTATGGTATATGTAATGTAGACTTGATGATCTTTCATTTGATATGCGACAGCAACATGTTCTAGAAAGTTTGATTTTTGCACTAAATAACCCCATCCAACTCTTTTTTGGAGGACATGAATTTGATATTTGAAATGTACACGGTCAGACTTTTCATTTGATATACAACAGCCTTATCTTAAAAGAAAATTTATTTTTTGCACTCAATGACCCCACCCAACCCATTTTTTGGGGACGTCAATTTGATATTTGAAATGTACGCTTTATGGACTTTCATTTGATATGCGACAACCTAACCATCTGAGAAGTTTGTTTTTTTGCACTAAATGACCCCACCCTTCCAACTGGGATGAAAAAGTGGTTTGAAATTTTCATTTTTGAGTACAGCTCATTTAGGCGTTCAATTTGATAAACATAATGACTGCATTTGGTAAAGTGCCAAAAATGATGCAACATCAATTATATAAATATAACTTATGAAACTTACAAAGTCAATGTAAAAGATGAAAATTTCAAATTGACTTTTTTTTTAAAAGTTTTTCATTGAAAGTTTTTGGTAATTTGTCAACCATATAGACATGTTAAATTCTTCAATTTCTGAAAATTTCAGGTGGAAAGCTACTGTTGATTCAGAAATACATGCCTCCGCTTGCAAAATTTCAAACTGCATTATCTCTTAAACGACAATAGATATCTCAAATCTGTTAAATGATAAATGATCTGCATTTAAAGGACAACATTGTATAAAAAAAATTGGGACAATTCCGAAGTTCATCAAGGTCACAATGAATCATCAAATATATGATGCAATACCAAACTTGAGAACCGGAAGTCGTAGAACCATGGGACTACCACCGTTCAACTCAGGACCACTTGACCTTTCAAATTTCACAAGGTCAGGGTCATAGTACACTTTGAAGGTCAAGGTAAAATTTCATCATGACCTGACATTGACCTCAAATTGAAGGTCTTAAAATACTGATCATTTTTGCGGTTCATAGTAGGTTGATATATGTTACCTTTTAAAAGATATACACACAAAACTATATTTAAAGAATTATCTCGTCGTAACTTTTGAACAGACGGTCGGACATTTTTGAGCTTAATGTATAAAATGTAGAGCTCGTCGAGAGGAACATTTTATACACAGTATGTATGCAGCAAACTCTTATCGTTTTCTTAATATGTAAGCTTGAAATTGCAGCGTAAATTTTTTTTGCACTCGTTGACCTTTGACCTTAGGTGCAAATTGAAGGTCACATGAACTTAAGATTATTGGTGTAGGTCCCAAGTCTCTACGACTTCCGGTTCTCGAAATACAATTTTTCAAAAATTGTGTATATTTTTTCAAGAGGAATAACTCCTTATAAGGGTCAATAACAACATTATTTTATATGTTCATTAATATTGCCATCTGTTCCTGTACATGTTGCTGTTTTCAAATCGATTCTATCCCTAATACTTTTTGAGAAAAATGCAAAGGAAAGAAATTGCTTCAAGGGGATATAACTCTCATAGGGGATGATGAAATCCTACGCAGCCTCATAGGGTAGTACATCATGATGAGATCTACCTATTGTCCACATAAGGTCATAATATCTTTAAAAACAACGAGGGGAGGCAATGTCGAAAAAATCCAATAAAAGGGAGATAACTTCTACAGGGGATGATGAAATCCTTAACAGGGTCATGTGGTAATACTTCATGATGAGGTCTATCGATGGTCTATATTTGGTCTTGATAACTTTAATAGAAACGGGGGGAGGGCATTCCCAAAAAAAATGTTGGAAGAAAAAAAAGAAAAAAAAAAAAAAAAAGAAAAAGAAAAAAAAAAAAAAAAAGAAAAAAAAAAACATTAGAAAAACAATAAGGTCTTTCCTAACGGAGTGGAAAGACCTTAAAAAAACATTAGAAAAACAATAAGGTCTTTCCTAACGGAGTTATAAAAAGAAAAAGAAAAAAAAAAACATTAGAAAAACAATAAGGTCTTTCCTAACGGAGTGGAAAGACCTTAAAAAAAAGAAAAAGAAAAAAAAAACATTAGAAAAACAATAAGGTCTTTCCTAACGGAGTGGAAAGACCTTAAAAAAAAAGAAAAAGAAAAAAAAAACATTAGAAAAACAATAAGGTCTTTCCTAACGGAGTGGAAAGACCTTAAAAAGATTTTTCTCTTAATATGATAAAAGATTGAAAAATGTCACTCTTGTCTTTAACATGCTTCTTATGATTTCTTTCCCATAACTTGATGGGTCTTTAAAGGCAATGCCATCTGGCAACCCTTCCACAACTACCTTGATAGAACCCTCATTAATTTCTTTATAAGAAACTTGAGTACCTAAATTTGTTGAATTTGCTAAAAGTAGAATATATAAAATTTTATTTATATTTTCTTTTCAGTCCATCCTGATATACAATAAAATATGTATTTAACATATATTTGTCGTTAATAGTATGACAAATATGTAAGTCAAAAGACAAAAGTCACAATTCAATGTTTTATTTTTCCACGAACAAGACAACACTAATTTCTAAATTATAAAGTTTATTGTTTTCTTGAACTTTTTTAAATGAAGCCACTTTGTAGTTAAATTATATTCAATTTATTATCATAATGATCAAACAATGTTATGAAAACGAAATGTCAGAGTGGCTTGGTACTTAAATGGCTACATTGTGCCAATAAATACATCCATAGCATGATACATCCTGAATAAATTTTCATTATGGTCTTCTATCTAGAAAGATTTTCCTACGGTGTTGAAGTCACAAATATTTTTTATTCGTCAAACAGGTAATGGAAAATAAAGTTGTCGTTTACAGTATGAAGAGGGAAACGGTTTTTACATAAAGACAGATGGACAATACGGAGGGGCTGTACAGGGGGTAAGTTTCACCCCGATCCCGCTACTTTTCTTTCTCTCTTACCTTTTCCGACATACATTAAATCAAAATCCTTAAAACATTCAGGAAAAGTTTCGCTTGGTAGATTAGTAATGCCATATATTAAAGTGATCATACCACAACTTTTTATTTTCAGAAAAATATCAAAATACAAACAA